CGTGCGCACCCCGTGAGGCGGCGGGGTCTTCCCTGCGCGGCCGGGAGCGGCGCCCGTTGTTACCGGGGACGTGAGCAGAAACTGGGTCCTTGTGGCGAAACAAAGCGGTTTAACGTACGCGGCTGGCTGCCGGCCGGCTCGAGGGGCCCGTGAGCGGGTAGGCCTGCCAAAAAGCCTGCCTGCCTGCCCGCCGGAAAACGGCGGGTGACGTAGCGAATTCCCCATCTCCCGCCCAGTTTCCGTGCGATGCAGGAGGATTCCGAGCCCTAAATAGGAGGCCGAATAGGGGGTAGATCGGAGGGGCGGGATTAATTTTCCCTTTCTCCCCCTTCAAAGCGGTTTTTTTGTGAGCCGCCTAAGTTTTCTGGAGATAATCCCGGTGTGTTTTTATGGAAGTGATTAAATTTAGTCCGTGGAGGTGTATTAGCGCTCTTACTTCAGTCATTTCATCCATGTTCTCATGGCAAAAATCTATTTTTGTAGCAGTAGCCTCAGCTGAAACATTCCTTTCCATTAGTGTTTTCTACTGCTGGAAATAGGATTGCATTTTAAAGAAAATAATACTACATGAAAGACCTTAATTAGGTATTTTCCCCGCGCACACCATCCTACGTGAGTTGGAGTTAAGCTGTTGAGAATATGTGGGACCCGAGATCTCTAGTTTCAGAGCGAGGTGTGTTTTCGCTCCCAGGCCCCTGGCTGTTCCCTGCATTAACCTTCCCTGGGTCTCCTGCCTTCCCCCTCAGTTTCAGGTTTTTGGGAGAATGTGTCATTACTTGCTGTGTGGTGCAAAGTGCCTTTTCCCTCTTGGCAATCCCAGGGGGTGTGTTCTATCCACAGTTAACACCTGGGACTGCAAAAGCCAGACAACCCAGAGCTGAACAGCGGGTTGGAGGGAAATACCACCACAGAACCAATGAAGCAAAACGTTGGCTGTCGTACATAGTAGAAAATACCATTATTTGAACTATTGATAGGACAGGAGTTAGTGTGGTGTAGCTGTGCTTCTATCTAGGGCTGTGCAGAATTAGGTCAGCTATAATTTCTCAGGGAAAAAAATAAACAAACCAACTAAAACTGAAAACCAACCAACCAAAAAACCTCAAAACCCACAACCTGTTTCAGCATCCTCTGCAGACTGTCAGAACGCTGGGTGGGTGCTGTAGTCCTCCAGGGTAATAGACAACGTGATTAATTTTACTTCAGCAAAGTTTGTGTGGCATCTTATAAGAACAGTAGCTCCTGCATCACTGTCTGTATGTCAAAGTATTGTACTCACATAGAATAGTTCCAGTACGTGAATTTGGCTGCTTGCTTACAGAGTCTTGAAAAATCTGCTAGAAAGGTTTAACGTCTAGTTACATGTTGAGAGAGAAAAGGGTAAAGGGCATATGACACATGCTGCATAGCATCTGGGAGGTCACTCACTGCAAAGGGGGACAAGAGGAAAATTCCTCTTTAAATATCCAAGGATGGACTTGAAAGGTGGTCAAGGATTAAGGCAGTCCTTCTCTAGCAGATTGTGATGCCTGTTTAATTGGAGAACTTCAGCATTTTATCTCAATTTAATTAGACTCGCCTTCTGAAGATCAGTTTTGAAAGTCAGGTCTCGGGTAATTTAGAATTAACTTAAAGTGGAATTCTGCTGCAATGTTCTGCCTGTGAATCCTGTTTAAAAACAAGAGTGTCCATTCCCTTGTAGGAAAGGGTCTATTCTTACTCCTTTTGTATGTTTCTGACCGATACCATATAACCCTGCAAAACAGTAGAAACTGATCCAATTGCCTGCGTGTGTGTTTAAAACTAGAAATTAGACATTCCTTTTCAAGAAAATATTCATGTAATGAAAGTCTCCAGCACAGGAAATTCATTCTTGAGCATTATTACACTAGAAAAATTAAAGGAAGTAGTACTGTAAAAAAACTCTTGCATTTGTTAGTACAAAATGCTTTGCATTTATTGACTGAACAACCAAATACAGTTGGTTACTCAAATCACTGAGATGTGGTACCTAAAACTGGGAAGCCCATTTAAATACAGGAAAGGGGGTGGGTTTGAGCTGAGGGGTGAGGAAAAAAAAAAAGACAGCTACATCACAGCGCAGTGCTTGGGGAGTTTGAGCTGAGGGGTGAGGAAAAAAGAAGACAGCTACATCACAGCGCAGTGCTTGGGGGGACTGTTAGAGTCAGGCTGCTGCCGGCTGAAGCAGCGCTGCCGTCCTGCTGGTAACAGCACCAGGCTGTCCTTGCTGCCAGCGGGGAGTAGTCGACAGAGATGTAAACCCTGCTCTTACGCAAGTGTAAATTGTGATGTAATAGAATCAATTGTACTGAATTGTCTTCCTCTAACATCAGAACTCGCCCCAGGAGTTTCTCTGGTCCCATAGCTAGAGGGCAAGTAGAGACCAGGGACATGCTCGTGTTAGTTCAAATTTTCTAAGAAAAGCACATTTTGCAGCGTTTAAGGAAGTGAGCCATTGCTGGGAGCTCTTCAGATTATGAAGATTTGCCAAGCTCTTCAGATTCTGGAGATACACGTAAATGTCAAAGGTAATTTGATCAAGTGATAGTTTCTGTGATATCTGTTACAAAGTCTCTGTATTATAATAAGGTTACAGTGGGATTCAAAAAGGTAAGTGACAGAGTAGTAGGAGGGAAAAAAAAAAAATAATCACAAAAACCTGGAGGTAGTATTAAATGAATTAAACTAAGAATTATCACACAACTGATATGCTTTGTGGGAGATTTCTCTTAATCCAATACTGACCTCAGCTTTCCTTTTTAGTTACTCCCATGTCCACTGTCCACTGACAGACAGCAATACAATGGTACTTTCAGCTGCTCCTACTGAAATACATTTCATTATTCTGCCCACAACTGCTGATTTTGGGAGAGCATTTGTCTGAATTCGCACCTTTGAAGTACTCGATACTAGTTCTCCAGATAAAACTGGTTTAGCCACTTAATGTGAGCCTTCGAGTCTTCTGCAATATCTGCACTGATACATTTTCAAATGATAAATGCATGCCATAATTAGAGAAAACAGTTCAGTAATGCAGTTTGCTATTTATATTCCTCGGGTCGAAGTCTGATAGGATGGCGGAGTAAATATAAATTCAGACTCTGAAGGGCATTATCTTGATTAATACGTCCTATAGCACATGTAAATATTTCTATTCCCTCCCGTCAGACAAGGTTAAGAGAGACATCCTGAATTTGTTCAAACAAGCCTTTCAGTTGGTACAATGGAATAAATAAATACAAAAATATAGTATTTTCATGTTACGGTTGCATTAAAAAGAGCTAGTTCCGTCCAGATTTTCTGGTAAAACACTTCTATTCAGAAACCTCTTTGATATTAATCATAACAGTCCAAATGTGAAATATCAAGGGCTGTTGGAGAACAGCAGGCCTCACGCCCTGTACAGGATACACTTAAGCAACCAGCTTTCTTTACTTTAAGGAGGGATTATTTCTGCTTGTGCTCTTCTCATTTTATACGACTGATCATTGTTTCCACAGCATCGTTATTCATAAAAGGTGGTGGTGTGTTTAACTTGCAATAGCTGCAGAAAGTTAGAAGCAAGCATTTCTTCCATCTTTCCCATACATTCAAGTCTGTCAATAAAATGAAAAGCTGTGCGATACCAACTTGCAGGGAAAAAAAAGCCATAATATGAAATCATAGCAGTTTAATCATCTTCCAGTAAAAACAAATACACACTGCTGAACAAAGTATAACTTGTGGGACGTTTCTAGAGATTTTGTGCTATAATCCTGAGATGACAGCGGAACACTTTTTTCTTTATGTAGAAAATAATTGCCTGTTCACTAAAACAGACGCACCTTGAAAGTTACAGCTCACTGCGTGCCCTTGTAACATATTCAAAACCAGTGATGGATTTGGATGCTGAATGACAGCTTGCAGATAAAACCAGACTTTGTTCTGGGACTTTTGAAGAGGGAAGAGGAGGGGGATTTGAATTTGGAAGAAGTGACAGTTAAGGAGCTGTAAAACCAGTCAACAGACGAGCTTCTCTGTTCTGACAGTCCACGCAGACAAACTTCGGAATATTCCTCCCAGCCCTGGGGAAAACACACACACACACTGCAGGGGAAGGAAACACCACCACTACCACAAAAAAACCCAAAACAAAGAGCCCCAACAAACCCCAAACCCCACTACATCTTCCCATTTTAATGTCAAGTTACTTGTACATCTCAAAGGGCAGCACTGGATTATATATAACCTAAGCAAAATTCCACCTGGAGCCTGTCACCAACTGTCACGGAGCTATGAATAGATGTACGAGTCACCCACTTGGGAACATTCGCTAGTTTGAAGTATTACTGGTATCTGTGTGCACAGGAATTTTTCACATAATTTACTAAGTTATCTCCAGCTCCTAAGTCGCTATCAGCAAAACTGAACAGAGACACCCAATCACTTCTGGTTTTTGCTTTCACTGACACGTAAAGGAAAGACACAGGAAACGTTTTGTGCGAGTGTGTATCATTTATTGTAGTTCAAGAGTCAGGAATTGAACAGAAGACACAGCGAAAAAAAACCAAATAAAAGAAAAACAACCTTTTTTCAGACTTAACTTTAAAACACTGTGGTTTCAAATCCTTTTTAAAAAGGAAATTCAAGTATCATATGCAGGGGGCAGTAATACAAAAATGTTTGTGAATGTTTTTTTTATTTTTTTTTTTTAAAAATGTAGTTCTACATTTCCTGCACCCTTTCTGCTTTGGTAAGGCCAAGCCATGGATACAAATTGGTACGCAACATAAAAAATGACCCCTGCCCCAACTGCAGCCTCCAAGAATAAAAGGATCTGCTCTCTGCGGACAAGCTCTAATGGCTCAGAAGTGTCATTTAGCATATATCGTATCTGCAGCATTAAAAGAATGGATTTTATTTTTTAAAAAGTCACTGAAATCCTGGTATTCCCAAGCATCTCATTCATGGCAGCTGTTCTAACATACTTCTACCTCAAGGCTTTTCAAAAATACCAGAGCATCTAGATAAACATAAAGAAAAGGGACGTTTCAAAGAATGGAAATTAAAATCCATGTGTGAAATCTTCGCTTTTTTGAAATATTCCTATGACGAATTAAAAACCAAATATGCAAGTGTGTGTAATATAAAAATACGATCCCAAGATTAACACTTTGTTGCAGGCACAGTTATCGCACAGAATATGTTCTCTTGAGGGCAGGGGAATGATTCTGATTTTCACAGGGATTTTTTTTGCAATACAAAAGAAAAAAAAAAAAGACAGCAGTGCAGGTTTGATGGGTGGAAGAGGAAGAAGGGAGGGAAGGAGGAAAAAGTTACTTTAGCAGCAAAATGTCCAAGGTTCTAACCACAATCAAATTAACGGATATCTGGCTGTAAAAAATAAGGTTGAAGGGATGCTGCCCTGATCCATTCATCTTTGCTAAAATAATTCAGCTGTAAAAACTCCAAAATGTGACATACTGAAGGACAGTTTTGTAACATAAGCAACTTCCTAGCTTGTCCTCCATGTTATTGACCATCGTTATCACTTAAATATATGTACAAGAATTAAGCCGCTTTTCTCCTTGTCCACATGCTTCTGGTCACTACTGCAAGGCAGTGCCAGTGGGCGTGCTAATCCCATCAATAGCTTTCAAGTGTGTCTGCTCCACTATTCCCAGAACAGCCCACGCCCTGCTCTTCCCATTGGTGTTGGCGTGCACTGCAAGGGAATTTTTAATGGTCAGCATTCTGCTTGTCTCTCATCCAGGCTTGGATTTGCTCTTTAAGTTCTGGCACTAATAGTGTAGAGAAGAGAAAAAAGAATTATTAACTTAGCAGTTAAATTATTTAGTAATACTACTACAAGAAAGCTCCTCATGACCAAAAGCAATTTCTTTTCTAGAAATCTGATCAGGAATATCTACGACTTATTTTCTTCTCTATCAATTATTTTCTGCACAGCTTTAAGTAAATGAATGACTCATTTACCAATTGTAATAATATCCTTTACCCCAGTAGTTATGAAGGCAAAGGTGTGGGGGGTTTTCCCAGAAAAAAGGAAAGCAGAAGGAATGAACGTTTCTGTGCAAGCTGAGATGAAAGAAGTTACCTCTACTGAGGCCTTAACACTATCTCCTGGAAGTACACGGAACAAGCTGCACACGAGTACCTTCCCCCGGTCCACAGCTCCATTACTAACTGTTAAATGATACCTGGTTCCAGCATATTTTCTGTCAGCGTCTGACGATTGAAAGGATCAGTGGAAGAGTTCAACAGATGCCTCAGGATGATCGACCTGTCCATAATGGTTCCGGATGGCAACCTCACAGGATCAGTCATCAGAGTGTCCATAAGGGGATCTGAGGGCACAAGCATCCGCTTGTTACACTGGTGACAAAAGCCGCAAGTGTTACCTGCGCACAGAACCACCGCGCGGAACTGATCCTCGGGGTGCCCAGGCGGGTGTACTGCTGAAGTTACCGAAAATAGTTGAAAGGAGCAGCGGACTTCAGCCCTCGCACAGCTTTTCCCTTTCTGAATCGGGGCGAAGCACTAGCTATTTTCACCTTATTTTCAGATTTTGGTGTGGGGTTTTTTGTACTTCTTTAAAGTACACGTAAGCAAAACACAGATAGGACTGCGCAGTACGATCCCAGAAGAAAACAAAGAAACTCTTAGCTCTCTATTTATTTACCTATTTAACTGAAATAGAGCAGGATGCAAGGCTTCATAACAATACATCGTTTCTACTAATATATACTTATATTTAGAATCAACGTAACAAACCAAATCCCTCTTCTAAAAAGTCAGCGTTTGGAAAACTCAACTTACCTCTGAATTCATCTGGAGCATCACTGTAATCAATTTCTGCACGGGCATTCTTGGCAACAATTTCCTCCACTTTCTCTGCCAGCAGTTTGAATTTCTCTATTGCTATGGTTGACTTGATTCCAGCCTTTCTCATCTTTGAGATAACCTCCTCAAAGAGCTCTTTACTGTAGGACCTCTACAAAGTAAGCATAAAGAGACAACTTTGCTGTGTTGTACCGACACGCCACAAATATTCTAAAGATCTTTTAATGCATTTTTAAAAGTTTAGGAGGGATCAAGGACACCTCAACATTACGTCAGACAGAAAAGTGTAGTATGTAGGTAATATTTCATCTAGCACCAAAATGTCAACTTTGGGGTAGACTTATGCTTTTTTACTGGTCATCACCACTATAGAACTGTGCAGGACAAAATAAGAGGCAGTATCACCTAATCAAAATGAGTAAGACACATAGAGAGTGACTGTAATTATTAGGATTGTTTCTTAGACAAAACATCTGTCTTTCCACCCCTGTCTGTATTCTTGTTCTCCCAAGTCTCAGCTGAAAATACAGCATAAAATGAAGAGGTTTTTTGCTTTCTTAACTTCTCTGATCATGTTCAAGGAAGTACTGGGAAAGAAGTGATTCTTTCTCCTAACCACCACAAAAACAAACACACACAAACCCACCCCATGATGTTGCAAAAATAGCAAGGGGACTCAGAGGGAGCGAATACTTGCTGGAAACTTGCCAACTGGTGCACTAAGAACATAGTTCTGCACCGCTGCATAGTGCGGCATTCGGAGACCAAATGCATTGCTTTCATGTAAGAAAAAAAAAGTTGGGCAAGGACTTTTGGAAGCTGCTTATGTTCTAAAGACGCTGTTTTAAGTTCACAATGCCATGTTTTGATATAAGCCTTTTAATAAAAATTGTTATTTACACTGCAGTGCAAGGTTGAATTAAATGACAAAACAAAACACGCTAAGTCTCACAGATTTCTATTTTCCTTGGGGATTTTAAAGTGTTCAACACAGCCCTACTGCTTTCATCTACACTGCATCGCACTGAGAAATACCATTCACTACTCGGGACACACAGTGCCCACCCAAACTCCTTTCTAGTCCAGAGGAGAACAGAACTATGGCAGCATGCCCAGAGCTTTATAAACGTTTTCAGATTCCTTCTAATACGTGCTAGGATTTGCAAATGGGAGGTGTATCAAAATGCTTTAGAGAGACCCTGCCATGATCAAGCAACTTTTTGTTTGTTTTGTTTGGTTTTTTTCCTCCTAATACCAGTAGCCATTAACCAAGTGTGCATTTCCTTGGTGTTTCTTTCCTGTCATTGACAGTTTCCAGGATACTAGTCACTCCCCCCCACTTCTATGAAGGGCTACTTTGTTAATTAAGCTTTCTTCCCGTTCCCACACCAGCAGGCTCCTTTCTTTCTAATCCCTATGTCATTGCTGTGCATTTTGCTGTGGCTAGCACCCGTGAATGAACGACGGATAGCATTCTCACTTTCATATATGCCCAACAGCGTAAAAAATACACTGCATGCTCATTACGCACATGCAGACATGTAAGGTCTGTTTCAGAAGCGTTACTGTTATCTGCAATTATCAGAACTTAATTATAGAAAAAGGATCATGAGTTACTCTGATACCTCTGCTTCACTAGACATGCAAATACAGCTTCACATACTGTAAAACAGCTTCCACTAGAATTTCAAGTAGCCACTGAGAATATTTTTTTCGTCTAGATTTTGAAAAGTTTGTGTCATAAGACCCCGGCACGGGGAGATGCGATGCAGCAACAGTCTGACAACTTTACAAGAACGAGGTAAGCGGTAGCTTATCTACCTTAAGAATTAACTTTCTGCCATGTTAATTGAAGACTCCCATGAGGGGTTCAAAGGTGTCTCACACATGTTGCACTCTGGCAGTTTATTACGCAGCATTTAATACAGTGATATAAAAGCTTGAAGCTGTTAGCCTAGAGAAAGCTTTGGATTGTTAAATGAGGCTCTTATTCTCAGTCCCAGCTCTGCCCGTTTCATGCGTTCTTGATGAGGAAGGGGGGAGGGAGTCAAACCCCTTTGTATGCTTGTTTTCCAACTTGCAAAATTAGGACAAAGTACTTCTGCTAATTAACAACGAGGCTGTAGCTAATTAGCAACTAACACTCAGGAAATTTCCTCTGTGTGGGAAGTGCCATAGATGTTTATGCATGACTACAGGTTTTCAAAACACTTTGAAAACACACCCATCTACAAAGGGCAGACAGAACATGAACAGAGATGATCTGCTGAAAGAAAACAAGTTGCAAGCATATACGACGGAAACTGGGTGTCAGCATACAAGTAAGATGAAACTCTTCTGGAGTGTTCTGCAAAGTCCTGTTTGTCCACAGGGCTTTTGCCCTTCCCCCTCTTGTCTTTCTGGAGCTCACCTGATCATCAGCAATTGCTTTAGCAAAGCGAGCACAATCTAGCTGCAGATAAATGTCAGTCAGTTGGTCCAACAGCTTCTTTGGTTCAAACCCATATTTCTCAGGGTTTTCGACTTTTAGGTCACGGCACTTGGGGCCACACAGTTGCTGTAAGTTAAAGTTCAACATAGCAGCCAATCGTGGTCCAAGTTCCTGCAAGATCAAAGTAAAACACAGATCATGGCGTGAAGGCAGTGATGGAGACAACTATCACTAGATTTGTTACAGCAACATCAGGAATTAACTAATAAAACTATCATTTTGTAGGCTCGCAAGAAGTGTCTTTTCTTTATGTATGCTTTCCATTAAAAAAAATATAACGCAAACAGCGTCTGTCTAGCAGAGCCACATCATCTCCGTGACTCAGGTAATGCTCTTAACATAAAATAACTTCAACTGCAATTACATTTCAATGAGGTGGAGAAAGGGGAGGAGAATGGAGATAAAGGGCTACCAAACATTTCCAGGTTATTATCCCACAGTAGAGATGTTAGAGAAGCTCGGAACCAAGTTAAATGTGAGCAGGACTTACAGGTCTGAGAAAAGGCTTTTGAACCTGCTTGGTAAGGATATGGAACATATCAACAGTTTCTGTTGCCAGGGCAAGATACGAACGAGACACACGCTCATCCTGAGCTAGCTGCGACTGCCGAGCCTGTTGCTGATCCTAGAAAATAAAACATGCAGTGGTTACAAGCCCACAGAATTTCCTACATGGTCACCCATCAAAACCTTATCAGCCACAAATGCTAACAAGATCTAGACAGACAAAAGAACAGATGGCAATTCAATCCAGATGTGATACATTTCTCAATTTAAGTACACTCACTTTTACTACCCAATCCTAAACTCTGCACCAATTTTCCAGAATTCTGCAACACTAAAAAATGAATGCAAATGGTATCACAAGACTCCACAGTTATTGAGTCTCTTCACATCCTGTAATGGCTCCCCACAGCTGCAGAACCGGGTTATGCTTCCTTTCCATTCAAATTCCAATACTTTAAAATCATCTTGGGATCTGAGAGTCAAATGAGGTTCTAATTTATGCACCATCCTGAGTAATAAACACTCCACACTGGAACAATCTGTAGATGATGTACCAGCTCATTTTGTCACTATAGGAATGGTTTTACCTTGCTAGCAGGCACAAATGGGATGAAAGGCTTCAGAACAGCAAACCAGGTAAGTTTAACAAACAAGATCTTTATAGCTTTTCTTTTCATTTTTTTTTTTTTTAAAAATCAATAACCTTAAAATAGAAATACCTGACACTGGTGGGTCAACACACACAATTATTGTTTGATCAGGCTAAGTTCTGAGGTATAGGACTCTAATTGTCTGCATCGAATCTACCCAGGATCAATGCATTAACAAAATAAAAGCTTCTATTCCTTGAAGTCAATTCAACTGGCGAGCATCTTCCAAAACCTCCTTCAAGAAGGTTAAAGTCTCAGTTTCTCCACTTAGAATTAAGTGCACAGTAATTTAAAACTTGGTACTATTTCCAGTTCACACCACACACTTTGCCAGCCCCAACATAACTATGCAGAAAGATGTTTTTTGCAGAATGTCATCCAGAGTGACCACGGCCATACTGACAGCAAGAAAAAGCATCGAGAACTGCTTCTCATGAGCAGCTCTTTGGTGCTGCCCCTTATTAAAAAGTTTTTTAATGGTCTTTTATAAAAAAAATTAAAAATAAGTAAAGGGCACTTTGAAAAACAGCTCTGTTCACCCTGGGCAGCAGGTCCCATTGTTCTTTATTCTTCATCTCCTCTTGCACTTCATGGATACGTTTTAGTGACTCCAGACTCTCATCCAGCAAGAAAGTTGTGTCATTTATCAGCATGTTGATGTAGCGAACAAACTGCTTCCCAGAGCTGAAAACATTGAAACACAGTTATCACGGCAGAGTAGATGGGTGTGCAGAGCAGACTGCAACCCCAGCAACACTCCTTCTGCACTGTATATTTTGAATAACGATCCCATTCCCCAGGCCAAGTTGACTGGGGTGTCCAGAGCTCAGTTTAGAAACACTCCAGTTCTACTGGAAGGGGTTGCCATTTAAAATACAATGGAGAGCAGCATCACCCCTTCCCAAGGGTAACGGCCTCCTCAGGTCACTGCCTGAGCAGCCTGCATGACAGTAAGCAGCGTGATACCCAATTTCTTACTCACTTGAACTCTTCCATAAAGGTACCATGGTGAGCTATGTTCTGCCAGAGGCTTTTGAAAATGGTGCTGATGTGGTAGCGGATCGTAAACTTGTCATAGAATTCGCTAGTGGCTCCAGTATGTTCAACATCTGAAAAAGAAAACAGATCCCAGAACCGAAATCAAAACTCTTTTCCACCAGGATTCACCTGCAACACACTACATCTCTCCCCTACTGTCTCCAATGTGATGAGCTTCAAGCACCTAGCTGTAAGAGGTGAAATTCAATTCCCATTCAGAAGTCTCCATCTTCATCCCCATTAAAAGCAGGAGCACTGTCCATTTTCTAATCCAGAACCAATCTAGTTTCTGAAGAAAAGCCCTCAGAAAACAAAACTCTGTTCTATTCAACCCCACTCCGCTCCATGTCCCACAGTCTAAAATTTCACTAATAAGAAAACTCTGGTAACAATGCAAAAATAGCTGTTTCTATGGGTGCAAAACCCTCCTGAAGCATCCAAATCTACAGGACTAGCAAAACTAGTCAGAAGTTTTAAAATCCCAATACTCCCTTACAAAGCAAACAAAAAGCTTCAAATTTGGAATCTGAACACCACAAAAACAATTGTCACATCCATGCCCAGTGCTAGAGTGGTCAGTGCACAGCAGCTTGTGGAAGGACTAAGATTCTCAAGGTTCTACCTAGTGCTATTTGCCCTGATTTCTGAGCAAAGCCTCATCTTTGCAAGACCCAAGATATACCTGTTATTTTGTGGGCAGTTTTTTTGTTGCGTTTTGTTTTGTGTTTATGTTGGTTTTTTCTTTTTTTTTTTCTTTTTCTTTTTTTTTTTAATTTTACAACAAGTAACACAGCCTTTTGCCTCATAATACTCATTGCTTACTGTACGCTCAGTGACCCGAAGCACTTACCTGTGTAAAACTTCATCAAGGAGGGGACTAACAATTTAGTGGAGAGAGGATGATTTTCAATCATTTCAAAGAACTTTTGTGTCCGGGGCTGAACAGCTGGATTTGTCATGAACATCACTTCCACCAGCTTGGCTACTAAGTAAGGATTTCGGATGTAGTTCTGGTTGCACAGCATCACAACAAGGAACATGACTATGTCCTGAGTACAGGGCTCATAAAGCACCTGAGGAGCATATCTGAAAAGAGTGAGACAAAGAAAACAAAATTAAAAACCCAGCCCTGTGTTGTCAACAGAAGATTTATCGTATACATTAAGTAAGTTCAGATCACTCAATTAGCAACCAGAAAAGTTTAGTCATTTTACCATCACTTCCCATCTTCCTCTACACAAACTACATCCTTACTCTTCCAAAAGGTCTTGCCAGCTGTTCACTGGAAGCTGAATTTAGCCTGAGACGCTATCGTATTCTTTTCTTGTGCATAATGACAAATTTACGATGAAGTACCGCTATAACAGCGCCTCAGGAAGGCAAAAGCAAACATTTCCTCAAACAACACAGCGAAGTCTGAATTTGAAGGCACATTTTTGGGTAGAAAGTGACCAACTTCAGAACACCAGGATGAAGAGTATCCATGCCCATCTAAACTGCTAAAACTATGCAAATGTTTTGTCCCAGCAAATTTATAAATGGAGGAATTTTCTACTTACTAACCTATAACTTTTAAAACGTATTATTCTAGTGATGATTTAACATATGAGATCTCACTCCAAACTATAAAGAAAATTCTGGGGAGAGGGAATCAAAAAACCTTTGACTTTATTCCAAGAAAAAAGCTAGGTTAGAAGGGACCCTGGAGCTCCTCGAGGCCCTGTAGCTGCAGCACTGCCTGCCAATGCCATAATCTCGTGGCTGTTGTTAAAAACCAGAATTACGGAATAGCTAGGGAACTGCTTTCGCACCCTAAATTTATGTGTGCACCACCTGTTGAAGGGGTAAATGGTAGTACACGTTTCCTTTCATTATAGCTTTACTTACTGTACAATAAAAAATAAAAATTCAGCAACATCTTCCACGTAAAACTCTGGCAATGCTGCAAATACCTTCGGAACATCAGGAGTTAAAGGCAATTCTATGCTGTAGAATAAAAGAGACAACAAACAAGACAGTAAAAGAGCAAAGTTAAGTAGAAAGTGTCACGAGCTCTTATGGAATGCTCCTATGGGAACACTTCACAAGAGTTCTCAAACTGATTTCTTAAAAATCCATGTCAGTACTTCAAGTGTAATAAACACACCTCAGAGTTGCTTCCCCCCAACTGAACCTTAAACTAAGTCATGTATGCCATGCAGGAATGTCTGTCACTGACAAAGTAACAGTCATGTAAGAATGCAGACACCGTAAATAAAAAAAAGTAAAATTCTAGTACTGCTAAATTCGGTGAACAATCTAACATGATCTGAGGTATCTTTGATACAACTTACACAGATAATCCTGACACTCACTTGGGATAGGCAGGGGCAAGAATGCGAAGCATCAGCTGAATCACCATGCCATAGAAATTCAGACATCTCCTGAGAAAGTTTTCATCCAGCAAACCAGCATCTGCACAAGCCTTGCACCTCACCAGTTTCTGCAGAATATGCATACAAAAACTAATCCAGGGCAAGACAAAACAAAAACCTATCCAAGCTAATCAATAAATCTGTGAATTATGACAATTACACAATGGTCTGTCCTAAAAATATGCTCTTATTTCAAGAGTAATGGGGCACTTAAGCCCTAACATACCAAGAAAAACACACACATAATTCAGAGTTGCAGGGACAGAGCCTTCTCAAGCTCTATGGGAACAACAAAGGTAATAACAGAGGCATCAAAGTGGTAAAACGAGCAATTAAAGTCATTTTAGTGATACAGCTCAGAAAATGTGTGTCAAATTATACTAGGAAGACCCAAGCAGGACAGACCTTCAAAAGAGGACCCCAGCATACTCACCTTTGCAAGAATCCTACATGTGATTAGAAACTCGAGAGCTCCATCTCTGTATTGGGCATGAATGGTACATGCACAACTACACCTGAACAAATCACAGTCCCTTGGCTTGTTCGCTCTCCAACAAAAACAGTATTGTCTTCTTTTGGAGGAACACTGCCTAAGTTAATCTTGGCGTTACTTCGAATACTTTAAATTCGCCATTAATGGTATCTCGTGTCATGACCACCATCTAGTGCAGTACTCACATGAGATTCAACACCATTTTCAAGAACCATCAGTGGGAAGTTGCATTGAAACATCAGGACACAAAGTAAACATACAGACAGCCTGACAACGGCATTTAGTTGAGAACTGAATCACTTACAAACCTTAAGCTGTGTCTTGCAACGTTTCAGCATTTCTCGATGCCTGGTAGCCAGAGGAGAATCCTTCCACTGACTTTCGTTGTTTTTCAAATCTTCAACAGTCCTGAAAACCACACACAGTAATTGGTTACCATGACAGAGGGGATAAATGCCTTGTAGATGGCAGTACGTAACATACTTATCTGCTAAATACTGAGGAAATACTGAGAAGTGGGGAAAAGCGGTAATCATTTTGATAGAAGTTACTCATCATCATAACAAGAAAAATAAATTGCTTTTGTAAGTGCAGACCGAACATCTGCACAGCGTGCATTCAAAGGCACTACATACACCTCCGGCATAGATGCCTGTTAGATTGCAACGGTGCGAACTACAAACAAACAAACAAAAAAGGATAAAACAGAGAAGGGATCTATCTTGCCTGACGAGCTAATTTTATCCACTGTATTAAAAAAAGTTATTTGCATTTTTTCACACTGAAGCCTACAGTCACTCTAAAGGAAGATTAAAAGGACGCCACTAAAGTTAACCCTAACACAAAGAAGGGCTGGTCCAGATAACACAAGATATTTGATTTGACTGAACTGTATGAATTCATTCCCCTTTCATCCCTCCTTTAAACACACATACAGCAGAAAGATCCCCAGTGTAATTTCTTTATTATCAACATCTAATTACGTTGGCCGGTGTTGCAAGCAACTAAGCAACTCATGGAAAATGCTAAACACTAAGCTCCTCCTGATGTCAGTAAAAGCCAAGAGCTCTTCACTCTGCACCGTTAGATGGAGATTGCTGCATAAGCAATTCTTTGCCACAATTCTAAATAAGGAAAAAGCAGCAATTCCTTTTTCAAGCCAAACATATGGCTTATTTACAAGTAATCTACAAGCTGTTGATATGAAAATACTTTTTTCTTTAAGATATACTGATGCTTTCCGCAGCTTCCCAGGTTCTTGGCCTGCATGTGCTTTAAAAACTAAAAATGAAATCACTACGAATGCAGTCCAAAAATCCTGTAATGAACTCATGGTACTACTGCCAAGGAACATTTACCAATATGCAACGAGTGCAATTATAAACAATGGAAAATACTGATGATACAAAAATCTGTTCTAATTTTAACAGAGTATCCTTCGAGGTTTAGCAACTATAGAAGTCTATTTGAATTTATGCCAAGAGAAATGGAAAACAGCAGTATCTTCATGTCAACATCATAACTTTTATTTATAATTTTTAAAATGGTAGACCACGTGCTGGATTACATGTACATCAACAATATTAAGAGATTACCGCTGAAGGCTTCCCTCCCCCTGCCCTGAGAGTACGACAAGTTATCCCACCTCAGAAGCCAAGGGGAAAAAAGGTAAATATCTTCCGGGGCGTACAAAATAGCTCAGGTACAACTAACAAGGTCTTGTTCCTGAAATCACAAGTCATCCACAATGACTTGAATATCAGACACGTAACTTCACATGCACCCCTACAGCTATGCCAGAGCCTGAGGCACTGAAGTCCACACACCAACCACACCACAGTTTAAAGTTACAATAAACAGTATTAAGTAATGTCATGAATCCTAAAATGCTCTGAAGACAATTAAATTCTCTTTTAAACGGAATGGTCTTCGCACCAATTTGAGCTGCCCCGTGTAACCAACAACCTCCATCCCACCATTCCCTGAATTCCTGATTCAAGCCACAGTCCCTCAACGTAAGCAAAAACCCTCAAGGGCCAAAAGCAGCGAGGAACAAATAGTTAAGACAATCTGTACTCAGCAACAGTTTCAGCCAAATTGCTGTTCTAATTCCATTCAGTTGATAGGACTTGCCATCACGGTGAGAAGAGGACAGTGCTAGGACACTAGGGCTCTCAGATGCACTAGATAAATAATAACTTCTAACCTGTTGAGTTCCCTGATGGCCCGCAGTCTACGTATGTACCGACGGCAGCTTGGCAGGATTGAGAGATGATGGGCATGCAGGGTTAGGAAGAAACATTCTGTTGGGAATTTCGGCTCAGAAAATGGAGACGGATCCCTGTCTAGAAAACAAACAAACGAGCAGTACAGGTGAATTAATTAGAAAATTAACTACCTTACCTAGGGGTGAGATCTTAAACTCAACTTTCTTTAAAACAAATATGAGCAGAAAGCATCAAGAAAGAGCACTTAGGAATAGGGCAATTATTTGCTGGAATCAAGGTCTTCCACGTACCTCCAGAATCAAGAACTGAAGGCACAGTAAATGCTTCACATATCTCAGCAAGAGTACTCACGAAGTTCAGCAATCCAGGCTGTGACATCTTCCATTGTTGCTTTCACTCTTGTCTCATCTGTTGGGAGGTCAATACGACATCTGGGATGAAATACGTACATGGGATCAACTGTTTCCAGCTTTATCTTCGTACTTAGTTGCTGTAGTACCCATAAGAAGTTGAGCATAAAGCCATCTGTAGATACCAAACGATCATCTGCCTGTGGGGTAAGAAAGTAAACAGTTGAAGACATAAGCTTAAGAGTACAACGGTATTTTCTGCTGCTTTAACAGTATGCAACATAAGTGCACTCTGCAAGTTCAAGAAAAGGGAGAAACGATGAAGAACGTGGATCTGCAAGGAGACCTTTGTGATAATGGGAAGGTCACATATTATCTTCCTCTATAGTTCAAGTACTCATTCTCAAGAACATTAAACAAACATATAAAAAGAAGTAGAAGATGACCTAAGAGGAGGCCTCTTTCAAGAACGGTTTGCCACAGATTTGGTCAGCAACAGAAGAGTTTCAAATAGTTGCTGAACTTCAATTCATAAGTTTTACCCTTTAATTGTAAAGTTTCTATTACTTCTTCACTGGAATTTCACAGAAATATTCCTAGTAACAGTTCAAAACGTTTGCTTTTGAAAATGGGACTTGAAGACAACAACGATGCAAACTTCAGTTGTTCAGGATTCATGCACAGATTTTATCACAGGAAGGGAGCGCAATGCATTAATTAAACAATGGCAAAATAACAATCCTGCTGTTTCGCTGGAACCATGCCAGTTCATATCTGCATTACCCCTTTTACAGGAACCACACAAAGCCTAGCAACTCACCAGCTGGGAAAGCTGGTAAGCTTTAAACTTAGCTAATCGGAATGAAGCCCCCATAGATGGGGGGTGGGGAAGGAAGTACAAAGCTTTAAATATCTAACATAGAGCCCCTATTAATGAAGTGACATATCAGTCCTAAGAGAATAAAGAATAAACTGATCAAATCGGTAAAACAGAACAATTTCAGAAACGGGAAGTGTATTGAAAGAGATAAAGACCAATGATGGGGCTCCTTGCCTGCTGTAGTAGGCATTCAAAATTCTCTTGTCCTCCACTCAGGAGGCATCTAGTGCTATTTGTGCACTGACTAGCTCCGTGACTCACAGGAAGAGCATTCCCCTTGACTTACCTGCATTTGTGCCTTTTTCATGTTGGCATTGACAATAGCTGCCATGTAATTGAGGGCTGCTTCTCGAGTTTCACCGTTCAGTAAAATACTATGTAGAATCTTGAACAGCTCTTGCTGGAATTTCAAGTAAACATTCTGTCAGGTTGGACATACTTCTCAACGTGGCATTCCTGCTTTCTGATGCTCCGTATTTTCAAGTTCTACAAACTCCACAAAACTTAACTACAACTTCTGTTATGAACTTGTTATCAACTTTATATGCAAATATTAATCATGCAGGTTACAGAAAAGACGTATATAGAAGACTAGCGCAACACACACAGTACTAATACAGTATGAATTTTTTAAACCCATCCTGTAATATGAATTATAATCCACGACTAACTGTTCTGATATTTTCTGAATTGGCTTACAGCCTTCGAGAAATATTTTTAGCATTATTTTTTTTCCCCAATTCCCTTTAGCCATATCCTAACAGATTTGTTATTTAACACAGAAGCAAAATTTTATATATATTTTTTAATTATATTCTTCATCTATGTCAAGACCAAATTTTTTTTAAACATGAGAACACTTACCCTTGCTAATTCCAGGTAATGTTGCAAAGACTGGCTAACAACCCGGGTGTTTTCAAGAGTAATGGCAGGCCCTGAGAAGTACTTTTCAACTACTTTGTTCTGAAAATAGAATGAATATTGGCAAGTGTATCAGACGTACAGGGGAAGGGGAAAAAAACCAAACAAACCAACCCCACCATGCTACTGTCAACATCCTTCTGTAACACTTACATCATCTTCAGCAAAGACAGAGAGACTGAAGAAGGCTCCAAGATAGGAAAGTCTTTGCAGCTCTCTTCCTGCACCTGTGCTTAAAGATTTAGGCAACCACAAGGGCAAAGAGACAACCTAGAAAACAGGAGAAACAGTAAGTTAATCAAAGCTGCCATGTCAGCCATACTGCTTTGTCTGCACTGTCACCTTCCTGTGTCTGCCACATGCCCTCTATTCTTCAACATTCAGTCATGCTGATATCTAAATGGAAACATCTCCTCAGCGTTTCAGCAATTCAGCAAGTCTTGTTTGTCCTAGTTTTCCTACATTCTCAGGGAAAGGACTCCCTTCACCAGTTTACTTTAAGGTATTGTTTAGCACGAGATACTACAGCAGTCCCTGTTTGGAGTATTGAAGAACATCATCAATGTGGATTCTATGATACCAACAACAAAATAAGTCGCATGGTTTTTTTAACTTGAAAAGAAGTCAGACTGGATGCACTTACCAAACTGCACATAGGGTGTGTTTTCCCAAATTTGATTTCACAAAGTTCACATAGTGCCTATAAAGAAATCCCAAGAAAAATTACTTTTATGCATAATTCTTAAGTAACCTGTCTGCAAACAACAAGCTGAACGCGGTAAACTGCTGGAAAAGCCAAACCTTTTCCCCTTAATCAGGGGAAAAACTTCCATCTTCTACAATGGTGAGGAGGTCCAAAAAGAGCTAGAGCACACCCTGCCCCCATTTTAGCTTTTACAGCTGTTCCAAGTGGTCTCAAAAAAGCTAACATGTCTCACAGGATAATACATTATTGCACTTCTTTCAAAAATTAGCTGTGCAAATTGTTTGTTTGTTCAGAACATAACAATGCCTTTGCTGGACTCCTGAACTGCCACATAAAAGTCAGTAACAACAATAAATACAGCAATTGTTCTATACATACACCAAGGCCTTTGTCTTTTGAATCAGACTGGAAAAATGTCAGATGAACACAGAAGCCAGAAACAAAGAATTCTATCCAAGATCTCTAACTCACTTTCAACTGCAGCACAGAAAAAAGAAAGCAGTTATAACAGATGATTCTGAAAACACAAAAATACTGTAGGCTTTCACATATTCTGCTTCTCCTGTATTACATGTTCTCATTCTTCAATTATACTATAGCTAGTAACCACTAGTCCATCCTTTCGTTGCACACTGTGCCAACCAGAGATGATCAAAATGGAATATCATCTTCAAGTAGCCCTCACTTATAGCCAACAGCCAAATTTGCAACAGTTCAGAATTTAAATTGGGTGGAATTACAGAAGAGCAGGAAAACACCACACCAGCGAAAATTGTTATTTTTGCAAAAGTACCAGAGTTGCTTCGTCAATTTGATTTGCAGCACCCCAGTCCAGCTAACTTCCTGAGGTACGAATTCAACCTGAGATGGAACAGCCTTTTTTGGCATCATACACTGAAGAGCCTAAAATCTGCGAGTGTTAGCTGACAACGCTCAATTTAGCCAAGAATTTCGCTTGCTCTTTTGTGGCCAAGCGTGCTTTTCAAAAGACTTTTTTTTTTGATTTGTCAATAAAAGCAGGAGTGGTAAGCAGATCTAGGACTAAAGTATGCGCTTAAGAAAACCTAAAAATAAACACCCCCCAACCTTCCAGCCAGGGAATATTATGATGTTTTCCTACAGTAAATAGTCACCAATTCAAATAATTTTGGTTTATTGCAATAGATTTTAGTCTTTCACATACAAAAGCAAGTCCAACAAACATTGCTATGGATAGTGGGCCTTATTTCCCAGTCTTAAATTGGGAGAAGCTTAGCAGGATTTTATAACCACCCACAGTATTATAACTAGTATGCATGACGAATTCCATATGTTTGTTTAATCTGATATAAAGCAATACATACAACCATCTGAATAGCCCACTACACAAACACTGTACATTAAGCTGAAAATATCACTGGCCTCAGACTCTACTAGATTTTTTTAAATGGTCTTCTACATCTCTCATACCACATTAAGCTTCCAACATAAGAGTTTAGTAGTAATCCACCAGCCAAAAAAAATCCTGAAAACATTAAATCTGCATAAGTTATCAGTAACGATAAAGAAACTGCTTCCAGAAACGAACAGTCCTTACCATAAGGGGGTATTTAAAATTGTCACTATCAAGGGAGCACTCTTTGGAAGCTACAGCCAGGCCTTGTAAGATGGGAATAAAGATCTGTAAAATAAGAAGTAGATTACTTTATTCAAGAATAGGAAGCAATTAAATGATGCTATTGCAGTACACAGCACGAAGCGCCTCTTTGTTCTTCAATACTGCAAGCTACGCAAAAGAAAAATTAAGATCTTTTCTTTACATTTTTATCAGCTAAGCCTGAAAGCTCATGAGATTATTTAAAGCTAAAAAACAATTTGCTTGATATAGTGCAAGTGATGTATTGATTCGATGCCTGGGCATAGTGACTTATCCATAAAAACTTCTTTCCAAGCACTTGCATGCATTTTTCCTGCTCACATTCTAACTTGTTTCCAAACATTTACTTTGCAAACCAAAAAAACCCAGAGACACCGACATCTAGATTTGGACCCCAAGCTAACAGATCCAAGCTGAAGCTGACAAACAGTAATGCCAGCATGTTGACAAAAATCCGTGTTCTTCGATAGAGTTCTTGGCATATGGAAACCACGTGGGGAAGCACATACACCTTTCATAGAGGATCACCGCAGATACTGTATGCGTGTTTCGTAGAGGTCTCCAACAACTTGATTGCCCAAATGGGTCATGATTTATTTGCCTGTACACTTAGGGTCATAATATAGCTTTAATTTTGCATGTCATGTAAGCAAGTTGGTTTTGTGCTGGTAAGTTGTAACTGTGGTAAGAGTAAAAAAAACAAGGAACAGTCAAGGATCATTATGAAAGAGGAAGTGACATGACAGGAACTTATTAATCAAAAGTAATTATACCCAATTAGTAAGTCCCAATCACACGGTCCTGACAACTAAATAAAAAAAATAAACTCTTGTAGTAATTTTACCACAATAACAACAAGAGGTCCCACTGAATTTTACATTTAAGTTTGTGTTGCTTCTATGAAGAGAGAAAAAATATTATTAAATCCTATTCCAGAAAAGGACTATAAAGAAGTTGTCTGCTTCAGCTAGAGGAATGGTTCTCTTCTCCAGGGTAGGTGACCTTTCACAGTTTCCATAACCACTTTCTGACAGCGTTAAATACACCTTCAACCGCATGAATCTCTACTAAAACGTGTCCAGACAGAGACATAAATTATTCAAAGGTAACTGCACTGCACATAGAAATTAGCTAATGTCATTTTTTCAAAACTGGAAGTATCAAACACCATTCTGAAGGCCCCTTTACAGCTAAGTGACATAATACTATGGGAGCACTAGTTACAGACAATTACAACATTACATGGGCTAGAAGTTTGCTAGTTTTTGTCTCAATTACTAGGCCCACCAGTTCCAATTTTTTGCCATCTCAGTGAACTACTCTGACACACAGAATAAACCACCTGATGTTTCTCAGTCATTTCCTCTGTAAAATATAATGACTTAATGGACTAGGATTTGTAAAATGCTCTTAGCACCTTAAAAGGCAAACTATTAACGTTGTGAAGAAGGGTAAAGATTGCAAGATAGAAAAAGTTATAAATCTTTCTGAGTATAATTACAGAAGATTGCTGTCTTACACATACATTTTTAGGATATTTTGTATAGAAGCATAAAAATGATGAAAACCCAAGATCAATCCCATAATATATGCCTGCATATTCCAAGTAGTTCACTTCACCATTACATAAATGCATCCTGCTTAATAACAAATGCACTTCTAATAATTAGAACCAGCAAATCATGAAAGTCAGTCTTTTTCACAAAATGCTGAACAAGTCAAAAATAAACAAAAACGAACTCCAATTTCTTAACAGGTTGCTAGCCCCTGAAGTAATAGGTACAGAAGTGTGAGATGCAGAATAAGCCTCCAGTCTCCTGGATACTGCAAATATTAGAATCGTATATAATATTTTTTTACTTATGTCTTACCTGTTTGAACACCTCTTCATCCTGATAAGTTGTTCTCACCAATTCTTGGATGAAGCCGAATGGGAGATTCCTACATAGCATATATGGTACCAGCAAAGACTGCTGCTGCAACGACCTTTATTTGTTAAAAAAAAAATCCAAAACTACCAATTATTTGCAGTAGTATTTGCAAAAATGTCAGCGTAATCACATGTAAGGATGGGCCAGAAAGCAGATTATCAACACGTAGACACACCTGCTCTTCACTACTTTCAGAAGTAACTAACCTTGTCTTCCCAAGTTACTTGTGGAAAGGTTATTCTGAAACAGATGCTGCCGCCAGCATCACACTTTAGTTTAATGAGGCTGGAAGAAAATATCAACTTCTGTGTAGTAATTGGTTCTCCCTTCTACTCCCCTCTAATGAAAAAACCCTTTGTTGAGCTCCACTAGTGAAGGAACAACAATTTTTTGATGTTTGTTTTTCCACATTGAGAAAAGGACATAACATTAGTCCTTTCTGAATTAATACAGTCGTTACTCTTAACTGCTCCCTAGAATTTCTGAAAAAGTATCTTTTTTCCTTATTACACATACAAAACTTATTCTAACATCAACGTTGGTTTATGTAAAGACAAAACTAATCTGAAAGCACAGTGGATAACTGGTACACCTTTAAAGATTATAGAAGTAGTGTTTGGAAACACAAATACAAAATCATGCAGATTTTAGTAAGAGTCACATATCCTATTTTAAAAACGTTTTTACTGTTCCAACTAAACAGGCTGCTAGTTAAACAACTGCACTTGAAACCTCAGAGCTGTGATTTAGTGTAGAACGTCTACACACAGATTTCCATTACCAAATCTGTTGTGGTAAACTCTCTGAAGTACACAAGTGCTATGCCACTTTAGCAGTTTTGGCCACACATTTTGAGCAGACTGTTGCTCAGAGGCAGCCCTACTGGGTACTGACTTTCACAGGAGTAGTGCTCTCACAATCCGCAAGTAAAACAGTTTACGGAGGAGGTAAGGCAAAAAAAACAGCTTGGTTAACTCAGATCCCACATTTAGCTGTTCAAATCAACCGGGATGATTTCACCCAAACACAATTAGAAAACACTGAAACTGCTCTCCACCAACATAACGATGGGAACAAGTCTCCAACGGTAAACCAATAAGCTATTCCTCTGGCACATAAATATATCCTGCTCCAACGACTGATCTTAGATAAGAAAACTAATCCTTAGGGGGGAAAAAAAAAAGCCCAGAACAGTGTAACTTTCATGATTAACATCAGCTGTATTTACCTTGGTTGTGTTAAGGATCCCTGTAGCACCAAAGCAGCATGTGAAATGCACTGTGATCGGATGTTGCTCAGTAACTGGCTAACTGTTGGCTGGCTACACATCTGATAAAAATAACTTTATTTTAATACAAACTAGAAGTATTCAGAGGTAGAACAGACAGGAAATATGATGAATTTCTTTATACATGCAGTACGAATGTAACCGGCAAACTAAGATTAGCACTACTTCAGCTAAAAACCTTTCAGTTTTTGAGTAAGAAGCGTTGTTTGTTTTTTGTTTTTTCCCCAGAAGCAAAAGCTTAAAGCAGAATATAGAACACTGATAGGGAGCTGGCCTCACAAAAGTATGTTTTACATGGAATAAACCTGGATAAAGTGCACTAGATCAAAAGGGGAAGGACAGTTTCTAACACAGTGCTTATTTTAGAGATGTAAAACATATACATGATTCAAATACGATGAATTAGTAAGAGTCAAAGGGACCTTATAAATTCTATAAATCTATTTCTACAGCAAACCCATCCAGAAAAAACTGTCAATTTCCACCAACTTTCCCCCCTAAACAGTAAGAGGAGTGTCTGTGACAGCACTGATACAACTTCACCCATCTGAAATATACCTTTGGTGCTTTTCTCTCCTCTATTCCAACTCTGTCAAAACACTCAATGAGGTAGTTCAGCATCTCTGTCTCCTTACAATTTTCAATGGTGAAGTGGTCACTGCAGGAATCGGAAACACTTGAGCTGCCAGAGCCTCCCATACTTTAAAACACACAAAAAGGAGAAACAAAGCATCAGGTACAGTTCTTCACTCGCACACAACCAAATAATTCATGAGTTCTTGACTTCCTCTGTCAATTTTCTCGAGTCTCGATCCCATCACACATGGCTCAATAATTAAGATCATTTCTGTGTTCTGTGAAGAGCTTTCCATTTAACAGCTTGGCCAAAACTGGAAGTTCAGCTGTACTCTAACATGAGTGAAGAACCAATTGTTGTGTTAAATGAGTAAGTATCTGAAAGACAGCAATAATGTGTGTGACCTCCAGGGGAATCAATAAATCTTGTTCTCATATGGCAACACCAAAACCGAACAGTCTTTAAGTTGTACCTGACATCAAAACTGTTTGAATGCTCAGGACATCACAACACTTCCATGACATGATGCAACCTCCGCACAGTTTCTGCACAGGCTGTATTTAGCATTCAGAATGGTAGAAATTTCACCAACTCTGTTAACACTAGCCAATCCATGGAAGGCAAGATCCTCCCACTGCAGAGAAGAGACCTTAGCTGATACATAGGGCTACAGACATTCACTTTCTATATTCTAAAGATGGAGAATAAACAAAATAGGAGGCAATGCATCAAAGCAATTGTTCCTTTTAAATGTTCCACATTAAAGATAATTTAATTTCAACTCAGTTTATTTCAATTCCCTTACAGTAAAATAAGCCATTTCATGAAGTAGCGGGGGAGAAATCAGCCTCTGGGGTGGGGGGGGGAAGAAAACACTGATATTGTAAACATGAAAACTAAACCCACAAAACCAAAACTGTGCCTGAGGTGAGAGAAATTAAATACAAAAGTGAGAACAGATCCCATGGCTCTCAATCTCAAGACTTGTTATCTCAACAGAATTCTTTTCTACATTAACAGCTTGGCAAAGCTAATTAAAAGCAAACCCCTCATTTTACAGAAGGGAATTGAGACAAGATGTATTCACTTTATGCAAACGGATTTTAAAAAATAGCAATTACGTGGATGGTCTGCTGCTACTCCTCAAAGAAAAGTCTGTGTACACTCAGGGTGCATTTATATAAAGACCAATTTATAAGCCCCAGACATTACACTGGAAAATAAAAGTATTTGTTTCCTTAAATGCAGCTTTTTAAAAAGACGTTTAAAACTACAAACTGTGTCAAAACTGGAATTTCCTTTAAACTGTAAAAGAATTCATATTTTAATAATGGAGCCGTACAAATCTATTGCGCAAGCTTTACAGTCTAACCGACAAATGAGGGAAAGGTTATTACTGCTAAGCATCTGGTAGCTCAGCATGGTAAGGAACATAACTTCTAATAGCAGCAATCTCTTTTTGCAGAGAGAATTTGTTTTCAGTTATTCAATTAAAATTAATCCATGTAAAACGTAGGTCTATTAAAATAGTACTTAGTAACCATGAAATCACACACATGTTTTCTTTTCTATAGCCTCTCTTTTAAACCTCTTAAATTCTCACATTCAGCTTAAAAATCACCCTTTTAAGAACATCAGTTTATATTAAAAACCCCACTACTTCTATAGTTAGTCATTCTGTTAATGATTTCACTGCAGCAGTAACCAAAATTATTCTAATGCAAAGCTCATACATCCTTCATACACATATTGAACGCCTCGGTATTTTCAGAATGCAAGTTGTTGCATAATTGTATAGTCACTGTGCTTGTAATTTAACTAACATGTTACTGCTGTCTGCAGAATACCAGGACATAATACACAAACCAAGACTTCAGAAGCACAGCAGCCTCAGAAACCCTTACCAGAGGCTGCACAACTCAATCCAACACTTGGATTAAACTGCCAACAGGATAAAAATTAAACAAAACGTTGAGGGAAAAGAATCCTAAATTCCATGTACGCAAAAACCCCTAAACCTGCGATACCGAGTTCGCTTTCCTGAAATTAGACTGGAATGAAAAAGAGGAGATCCTATTGGAAGGTCTTCTAGTTAACAGTCCAGCTTCAGCAGTAGTGTCCTAACCTACCAGAGGAACAATCACATGCAGAAAAGTGGCGGGGGGGAGATCATCTCACAGTAAGTCTTTTTGGGCATTCCCTGACATCAACAAGTTACTTCCTAAAGTCTTGACCCAGCTTAGTTCTAGAAGGCCCAAGCGATTAGATTTCCCCAACTTTTGCTCTAAATAAAATATTTCCAAGGGGACTGAAAGCCTTAGAGGAACTCTTTTCCTCCCAGTTGGTCAACACGCGCGTAGTCTTTAAGACACTCATGTTGTTTCCCTTATATATTTGCAAATTGTAACTGGCTCTAGCAGGCTGTATGGCTAGCTGTAGGCCACCTCAACATTACTATCACAATCAGGGGTCCAAATGCTCATAGAAAACGTTCAGGACACTAGATTTTTCATGTAAGTCTTCTAAAATACAGGGGGTTTATATACAACATTTATTCCTTTCTCTAATTCAGGTTGATACAAAAGAATGGGGCATTTCTTTGGGAAAACATTTGTGTATCAGCCGAGACACTGCAGCATTACTCTGCAATGGAATGTAAAACTAGAGAAGATCCTACCCTGCATTTACATTTCCAAAAGCTTTTTTGGCATATCTTGGCATATGCAGTGTTCTGCAGGGTTTTTTGCACAGCTATCTGGCCAGCTTCCAAACAGAACTCACTAATATAAATTCTCATTTTGTTTTCACATACCTTAATGTCACACAAATGAAAGGGCTTTGCTGTACGATTCATAAATCTGTTTTACAGTAAATATTCTGCTCTTCCTCCTCCATTCTTGGCTGTTCCAACTACATCAGCCTCTACTATTTACCATGTCAAAGGACCAGTTTAAAATTTCACTTGTATTTTCTTTACAGGCTAGAGGAGCCATCTTCAGCTGGCAAGCAGCAATGGATCTTCAACAGTCTGTCTGCATCAGCTAGCTATTTGCCACTATCTCTTTTTCTACATGTTAATCTCTGTTCTCATTTTCACATTTTTGATAAGAAAATATGCACATGATGTACCACTGGTTTTAAAACCACAACCATGGGCGAATAACATTCCTTCTACTCATATAATCAATCAGGAGTTCCACTCCAACACCATTTCAGAAGCCACGCTCATTAAACCAAAAAGGCCATATGATTAACATTTACTTTATCTTAGTCATCTCTTCAAAAAAAAAAAAAAGAGCTGACTAACTAGCATTCATTATACATGTGTTATTCGCCATCTTAAAAACCCATCCAAGTCATCTCCTTTGCTTTAGTCATTTCCTAAGTCACTTTGAAGAACACTTGACACTACACAGACTGTTAGTTCCTAAGCAACCAAACATGCAGGTTACATTCTCTTTCTCCAATACCTGGACCCAAACTGGACACAAGAAAAATCATCATCTTCATTTTCTTCATCACTACTGTCCTCAGACACATCAGAAACGGCAAGAAGAAGGAGGGAGAAAGGGTTGTCGTATATACTACCACAACAGAAATGAAAAAGGCCATCAGGTTTTTTTAAGCCAAAAGAAAAAATAAATGGTAGCTTTTCTTTGTAAGTCTGCCACAAATCATCTTCTCTAAACATGCAGATAACAGATAACTCCATGTTAGCAAAATCAAGACTATTACTAACATGCTCGTTACACGACTACAAGTCATTCGCAAATCAACACACCACACATCCATAAACAAAAAACTGAAAAAGAATTTTTGAGACCTAATAAAAATTATGGCTGAAGTGGGAATGTTTAGACACTACATATAATAAGTATTACAATTCTAAGCTACTGAACTTTAAAGCAATGGTCTCAAAGACCTTGCATGCTCCTTTCTCCCTCCTGCAGGGACTGGAGATTCCAGGAGCAGCCAACAGTGAAAACGTAGTAGTACTTGGCCTGGCATACTGAAATAGGCTAATCTGTGATTTAAATCTATGCACTAGGGAATCAAATCTAACACAGTCCAGCAAGTAACAACTTTCAACAAATCAACTACAGCCCAACCGAGAAAACTGATTTCAAAGCAGGCGGTCTGTTTGGTTTACTATCCAGACATAGCAACCGAACAGAAAACTAATACTTTAACTGGAATGGATGTAAGAAGAGGAGGAAATTAAAACAATATTGCTACCTTTAAATTAATTACATTACATTTCAAATGCACACAGAAGCAGATTTAACGTTTTGGCAAAGATGGCTTGTTAGGAAGTCAACAGATTAGCGCAAATCAAAACGCAAAAATCAGCTCGGGGTAAGTAGGGTGAGCTCAGCACAAATGTAAGTTCTTCCAAACTGCACGATTATGCCACACCCTGCACGGCACACATTAAACACACTCTTTTGCTCTTGTGAAATACCTAGAAGGAATCCTGTTCAGTAAAGGAGAACGCCTGCGCAAGGTACTGGGTGAAGCAGTAAACAAAGGTGGACCCATTGTTGTGGGTCTCTGTCTGGATGTGATGAGTGGCATGGCTGGAGGGCTAGCAGCCACAGCTGGAGGACTTGTTGAACTAGATGGGATGGAAATATTCAAGGAACGCGGGATGGAAGAAGCTGAAAAGCCTCCAGAATGGGCAACAGTGTATGGTCGGTACCTCGGAGAGGAAGGCTGCATCCAAGAAGGGCTTGTTGCTGTGAGGTGAGAGCTGACAGTAATGGAAGGCACAGATGTAGTGGCAACTGAACTGGCTGGTGGGGTAAGAGATGAACCAGTCATTGGTACATAGCTTGTGAAATTGGTAGTAGGAGCTGGACTAGTCCCATAGAGACTAAACCAGTTACAGGGGAAAAAGAAAAAAAAAAGCAATGATTTAGGATATGCAGAAAAAGGGTGAAAAAGACAAAATGAGCAAGAAAGTCCCTTGCTCTTCTGATGAATCTTCAGCAATAATTCTGCAGCTCACACACATATTATTTCTTTTTACTAATGTTGAACAAAACTGTCACAATCTACACACTTTTAAGTTAAGAGTCACAGCCTTCACTGACTCAAGTTAGGGATACTTCCCAGAAGGAACCAGCTACATGGCTTCAACCTATCAAATACACTTCTAGCCATGGCAGTGTGGTGAAAAACTGTGGGGGGACATTCACATGAAAAAAAAAAGTGAAGAATTTTAAAAATCTATTCTATTTATTGCTCTTGGGACATTTTTATGCCACTCCTCTCTCTTCTAGCCTACCAACCAATATTCAAGCGAAATCAGTATTCAGTTATAATCAGAAGTCACCTGGATAACGAACTGGAACCAAAGGAGCCCACATTACAGAACATAGGGCTGCTTCCTGGGTTAGAGCCCATGTTTAAAATCAGGCTTCTGTCAGGAGAGCGGGCAGCTGCAGCAATCGGTTGTGATGTAGCTGTCAGGCTGGCAAATGGGTTTTCATCCCTTGACTGCGTGGACATCATCAGCACTTCCATCAAAATCTGCCCGATCAAGTCCTTGAAATCTGAAAACACTGTTAAGAATAAAAGAAGAGAGTCAGTATCCTCACCCACTGTCTTCATCCACACATTAGTCAGAGATGTAAACATCACCAGAGATTTCAACTAAAAGGGACATCCATGTACTTCCGTGAATTAAGTGCTGCTTTTGGCAAAAACAATAGACTGACACATTTCTAACTATCACACTGTCTACATTGACTACGTTCTGGAATTACAGCTACACAAAAATATAACTTTTATGGAAAGTACAACAGGTCATAGATGATTCAATGTTGTTATTGTTGATTATTAGAGATGTCTTGTGCATCCCTCTCATATTTTCCCCACACTGCTGTTGAGTTGGGCAAGTTGCGTCATAAAGAAAGAAAAAAAAACCAAACCAAAAACACACACACGCCCCCCACATATGCCCGCACATAAAATAACAATTTTGAATTTGGTCAAATCTTATAGCTGACATAAAACACAATTTGTTATACAAAACAATCACAAATTCTTAGCTTATCAAATTAACTGCTAAATGTCCATTATGATGCAAGACAAGCCATTAATTTGCTAAAAGGTTTCTAGAAAGGAAAAAAAAATCCAGCAACACCACAATATCAGCACTCCAGTTTGACAACAGAAAACACAGCCAGCGAACACAGCAACTGACTAGAACAGGAGCTATGACCAATCGGTCCCATGTTCCTTTTTGGAGAGTCCAGTTCCTGCTACATCTGCTGATAGCTGAGGTTGAAATTGCGCAAAGACCACAAGTAGGTGGCTCCAGCATTATATCAAAGACAAAAAGCTAAAAATAAAGAGTAGGGAATATGCCACAACTGAAACAATCCCTGAAAATGATGACAGTTCAGACACCTACCTTCCTTTGGGTTCTGCTTAAACTGGGCAGAGAGTGAATTCAGAAAGATAACATCTCTGTCTCGGTCCTTCCAAGAGACTCTGAAGATCTTACAGACCAGCTGTAGAGCTTGCTCCTCAGATACTTCAGACCCAGACAGAGGTTCCTGGCCACAAGGTGTGAAAAGAAAAAGCCACCAACTTATTTGCAATTGTTATTAGTCAAGTCACAATCAGATGCAGGTCTTCTTTAAATGGCTTCAGACTAACTCTTAATGGCAGGTTTTGTATACTTAGGAAAGAATACAGATATATTTGTCAGAATGTATTTGGAAAAAAAACCCTGAAGAAACACAAAACAGATGCAGAAAAGATGTAGCAGAAATACTCAAATCCAGTAGGAAGCAAATTCCCAAAACACATTTGAAAACAGTATACTAAGAAGGGAAATTTAACCAAGATACCTATGGTGTCTGCTTTCAGGAATTAATTGGGGATTCAAATTTTTATTATGCACAGGTATTTTAAGAGTTTCTTGTAGAAATGGAAGCACAGGAAGGAGTGAGCTTCCCCGAGTCCTTCCTGCTTTCAAATCTTTGCCCATAATAAAGACATCTTTCACTTGAATGAAGTCAGGACACCACAAGAGACTCAAGAATTTGCCTTGTTCCCCTTTCTTCCAAAAAAGGAAGATCATATAAACTGTGCCCAAAATGAAAAAGTAGTTTCTCTAAAAAGAATGCTACCATATATAGTGGCTAGCAAAGGTTAACTGGGAGGGTTCTTGCAACCCTAAGGCAGCTTTGAGCGCACACGCCAAAAAATGGTGGAATACAAAGAAAAAAAAAACCTCAAGTAATTATCCCTGCCGTGTCAGGAGAGGTAGCATTTAAAAATATTTCCTAAACATACATGACAAGCCAGCAACAGAACTCTGTTCCCCCTTACCCTCTTCTACCAACACTGTAAAAGCAATATAATATACAAAACAGGCAATTCAGCTGCACAGAATGTCAAAGATGGAAAAGTTTTCGCTTCAAGGCTATTTTCCTGCAACAGTTCTCTTGCAAGAGTTGTAGATATTTACTAGATAAAAAAAATTGATACTTGACTAATACAAGTGTACATTGTACTGCTATGTATCGCACTTCTTGAGACTGCAATACTCTTTTCAGAAACAGTAAGTCAATGAGAAAGAACAAAATGGAGATTGAAAACAACAAGGTTGCCACTAAAAAGCTCTCTTTTTCCTTTAAATTTGACACCTCATAATGGCCACTAGGTAAGCCTAAATTCATTAGAGATTTCCACCAACTACCAACACTGCACCCTTTTCAAAAGCTTTCCCCCCCATCATTTAATGAACCATAAATTTTGGCATATTAATACATTTTTATTAGTCTACTAGCACTTTACTGTTTTCATAGAACCACAGAATGATTTAGTTTCAAGTGCTTCTATTCCTCCTGCCTATTTCTGCACAGAAGGCTTTATTATTGACATAATTTCCAACGCAGATACCAGGCAAGAAAAATTTTTGCTCGTGAACGAGGACGATGCTGTCTCCTATCTACTTTTTGGTATCTCCAAATGAGTAAGAGGAATTCAACTAAGTTTGCCAAGCTTTATTTTACTTTACACTGCTTCCCACCCCCCACTTCAAGATTGTCCTTGATTCCAAACTATTTATTTCACAGTAGCACAATGCGAGCTGTCCGATCGCCTGATTTGCAGCTAGGAATTGACTGGAAAGGGTTCTGCGGCAGGGTTATTGCTACGTGGCTTTAAGCCAGGCTTTTACCAACTGACCTTATTACTGACAGTGCAGGAATAAACAAAGACATCTAATGAGCACTACAAGAATTGTTGTAGAAACTTCTCTCCACTACACTGATGTCCCATTTTTTTATGGCTTTATTACACACAGGCTTTAACACGAAATTACAAAGAGGACAATTCTAGAAGTGAATTAAAGCTTTGTACTTGCTTTCTTTTTCTACTTTAAAGGATTCTACCACATGTCTAAACTTTGAGAAGTAAACTTTCTTATTTATTTTCTTACATCATCATTAAGAAAACCTTATTACATAGCATACATAACATTTGATGCAGTACTTTTAGTAGACCTCCGAACGCTATACAAATAAGCTGCAACAATCTTCAGAATTGTCTTTTGTTGGTCTTTTTCAGGCCTACAACATACTAAAAAATAGATCTGAGCATTCATAGGTCACTGTTGTAGGGTATATTAGAAAAACATTTTCATTAGAGTTTTCTAATATCATTCATAAACCAATTTAAGACAATTGAAATGCAGCTTTGATATTCAAAGTTTTGACTTTTCTTCCTTCCCGCAAATTTTCATGAGGAAATGTAGTGAAGAAATTGCTCACAGATGACATCTGAGGGCTAGTTCCATCCTCTTGAAAGCACGTGTTCAAAATAGAGATAACTGAACTCACTGCAAGCTAAAACTCTGCATCACTCCTCCATCCAGCCAGCATAAACCAGACTAACCTTATCCGTCAGGCTCCTTTTCTCTCTGCGATCATTTTCATCGACCTCCATGTTTTCAATTCCTGAATCCACATCTACCTGGGACATACTGTAAGTGGAAACAAGAGAAGAAGCCCATTAACTTGTAGAAAGCTGCAGAGAGTCCTCTGTAAGAGGCTGACTGAAGGAGTGTCGTCCTAAGTAGAAGCAGCAGAGAAGAAACAATGCAACAGGAACAGCCATATGCACAAAGAGCAATTAAAATCACTAGTAGATAAATCCTTCTCTCATTACATTTATTTTGAATTCAAGAAACAATTCTAAATTTCTTCAGCAGGCAATACAAACTACACAGCTATCACATCCCATAACCTTTCCTTTTTTAAAGGGAGTAGCTGAATTATCCCCACCAGACACGCTTATCACTTAATGACTAAGCTAATGCTTTGGTTTTTATCACTTTAGGTCAGGAATCCCCATTAAAACCAGACTAGAAAAAGCATTACAGTGGTCTAAACAGTCATTTTTAAGCATTAAACCCCACTGCATCAACACAGCTGGAAGTGAGAAACGGCAGAATATTTCCCCGTGTCAGTGGTTTTGACGATTAGCATTGTGCAATATTTGCCGGCTCATACAAGCTGCATTTTTTTTTTACCTTTTCTCACAGGAGACACTATCAATATCCATGCTCTGAGACCGAGAGAGAGACTGAGATTGTGTTTCAAGGCTGTTAGATGGAGAACTGCTGAGTGAACTCACTCCTTCGCTGCTCTGGCTTCGGTGGGCTACTCCTAGAGAAAAGGCACCACCAAGATTACTACTACAGCGATGAGAAGGCACTACACAATTATTTGGATGGAAAAGGAGAGGAAATTGTGTTTTTCAATCCAGCTCTTAAGCATTCTTAGTAATGCATTAGGAAATAAATGTTAATAATATTCACATTTGACTACAGATAATCACATATTCTACCTCCTCTTGCAGCCACAATATAGGAATGCTTACCTGTATTATAACACAGGGAACAAAACTAAATTTGCATCCATGAAGTGCTCGGAGATTCACTCCCATAAAAAAAAAAACCCACACACTAGCAAACCGATCTCTTACAAGATTGCCCTACCTTAAGACTTTGTCAAAGACCCTCTAAAGTCAGTCCTATCAGAATAGGACTTCACACTGGGTCATTACAACGGAGTTAACTTGGCTGAGATACAGGACCAAACGAATCTGAATTCCGATAGTCTTCCCACAAAACCTCCGACAATTTACTGGGAAGTCATCAGTACTTTTCCTTCTCCACAAGGATAAAACAAGCATCCAAGAAGTCCTAACAACATGCACTACGTGCAACAGCAGCAAATGGAGAGCAATATAATGGCTTTGGAGCATGGCTGGTGAGGGTCAGGATACAAACGGATGGATTCATTTGGCAGTGAAGAGTTCTTTAGAGAAGTGTTAGATACTAGCATGGTAGGAGGACAGTTATATGCATAATTCCAAATAATCCAGAAAAAGCCTTGCATTCTGTAACAATGGAAGCTGAATGGGTTCTACAAACATCTAAATGAAGAGGGATCTTAAATGTAGCCTATTCCTAAAATTTGTGCCTAGTGACACTGTTTCAAGTCATGATTTATAATCAAGTAGCAATAACTGCAAGCTGCAACCGTAGTTTTACCATTATTAGGTATTGGCATGTCAGTAAACAGACTTCTCAAAAGAGTAGGAAAAAAGGTATTATTCATCACCTGTTTAAAAATAAAGCAGCAGTGAATTTCACTCCTTTGGGCTCTTTTGCTTGCAGTTTACAAGACATTCCCGAACAGTATTAAGTTTCAGGTGAGAAGTGTAAAACCAGATTGGCAACCTATTTTTACATTCCAGCACTGACTGTGTTTCAGTGTTACTACTGAAAAGTGCAAGCTTGTCCTGCATTTATGGCAGCAACACAGTCTGAAGTTAACAGTGGAGGCAGCAAAACAGAACAAATCAGGATTATGCTCTTTGACACAAGCTGTTTTGTTTCCCAGCACCCTTCCCAAAGCTCTGCTAGATCTTGAAAGAATTCATTTTACAGGAACAAAACTGCAGAAGGCAGAAAAATCCCATTTAGAAGATGGTTTGCTGAAGAAAATCTAGATATTGAGCACGGGAGGTAGGAAAAGTTGCTTCATTCTACTGCTTTGATACTTCCCTGGGTATAAAAAGTTTTATATTTAACTTCTTATATTAGGGATGGAAATTAGTCAGCATCCAGAAATCACTCAGATCTTCAAATAAAAAGTGGAAAAGATGTGTGAGGTAAAGTTAATTTGCATTGGTGTTCACAAAAGAATTTAACAAGCAGATTGTCCAAACACCTATGTTCTATAACTGAAGACATGTAAAAGCACTCCAAGGCATAGCAGGACAAGTAGCTTGCACATATCACAAAACACTTGCTACATGTAAATTTTACTCAGTTTTGTTCAAAGCTTCTGTGCTGTGGTTACTAACTTTAGGGCTGTAGCTGGGTACTATCATTCATTTATAAACATTCAAACAACATTCCTGAGCCCATCAGGTTTCCAGTACGAAACGGAGAATCAAGAGAGGTACAGAGATCCCCCAAGAAAAGTTACATTTCACTTAACCACCTATTTGCCAATGCTAAACGTCTGCAGAAGATTTCACCCAGGAAGCAAGAAAACGTCAAGAACAGCTCCATTTCAGTTCTAAAGAGCTGACAGAGCACTGGCACAGGCTGCCCAGAGAGGTTGTGGAGTCTCCTTCTCTGGAGATACTCAGAACTGGCCTGGACACGATACTGTGCAACCTGCTCTAGGCGAACCTGCTTTAGCAGCGGGCTTGAACTAGATGATCTCCAGAGGTCCCTTCCAAACCCCACCATTCTGTGATTTCCTCCAGTCCTGGAGTTTTAGTGATGCATATTACAGCTTTGACGCTCAAAGTCCTTGCATGCCTAGTACAGTTTCTCCACAAAACCAACGATATAGAAATGTCAAGCACAGTGTCTGAACAGAGCAAAGTTGCTCAGGTCAATCAACTTAAATAAAAGCAACTTCAAGAGCAGAACTTCAATGATGTAGTTTCCCTAGAGATAACACCCAGCAGAAACATGCTGTCCATAGCAGAGGAACGCAGACTTCAGCAGGGTATTCCAGCACACCGCTGACTTAAGATATCCCAGTTACAGCCCTGGTTTCCTCAGTACATCATCGATCATAAAGGGGCAGTCTTCTTTGAGTGTTCCCTCTCTCTCCTCATCCCTCTTCCCAAGGAAAAAGCTAGCTAAGTCAGTAGACAGAGAGGCTAGAGCAAACATGGCTTACCAGGGTAAAGCAGCGCATTGTTCTACATTCCCTTGGGGTCTTACTCACACTGCCAGGAAAATGTACTTCCAAAGTTAGACTGCAGCCTCTTCAAACAAACCGTCCTACCTACCACCTTTTCACAATAAATTTTCCAGAATTTACCTCCATCTACACTTTGCTGGATCAGGTATACAATAATATACCCGACACATGAAATTCCAGTTTTCCTTTAAAAAAAAAAAGGAAACAACAATATATAGAGATCTTAAAAGTATGAAGACCACACACTCAGTATGTGTGGCTGTCACTGATATACTGTTTTTAGGCTCTCCAAAATATTTTCGAAACGCATTAAAAAATAAAGCTCATTTTTCCACGAAATTGACCTGTAAGTCTGATCTCACCATGACATGCAACTTCTTACGAAAATGGATTCTTACAAGGACACTCTTCTGCTGGGGCTGCTTCTCTGTGTGTCCAAATGAATTAAAATCCTCTGCCAGTCATTTTAGTCTACTATGCAAAGGAACTCTTGCAAACCACACAACGTTCGCTGAGTCTTCATTTATGCTAAATAAATACAGCAGATAATCAGGTGAACATTTCTTCCTGATCTATTCCCCAATTTAACCGTATCTCTTACCCTGGTGTGAGAGATCGGCATTATTAAATCACTGCAATGACTGGCACTATCGGAAGCCAACGCTATACTGACTAGGTAACTTCTGTTTCTGGTCAAACATTACCAACTACCCAGTGTAGACAGATGGATTCTTAAAAGAGAAATCTCTAAGGTCTTGACCACTTCAAACCATGATAAGCCTGTCTCCCAATACACAAACTTTTCTACCTTCAGGTACATGTTTCCACACCTCCTGCTCTGCTGCCATTATCATTTATACGGTTGTGCAGCAAGATGGATCACGACCTCATCTATTTGAAAACTAACCATTTACTTTTCCTGGTTATTTTTTACCTGGATTAAGTCCACGATCCACCTCACCACACAGTTGCTAAGGACAGGAGAAGGAGAGGCAGTGAGAAATACTCCTTTGAGCAAGAGTCAGACCTAAGATGGGTTAAAAAAGCCATGTAACCACAGGCTTAGCGAACACAGCAAGTGACCTCCGCACTGTTGTTAAAAAAAAAAAAAAAGGAGTCACCTTTGCTTCTGGGCTGCTGTCTATAATCATGAGGACAATACACAGTGTTAAATTCCATCTGCAATGAGCTTTTCTCAGAAAATGCTTTTGACAGCTTTTCTCTGTCCTGCTTTGGATACAAGGCAACAAAATAAGCAGGAAGGAGTCACTTTAGGTATTTCAGAACAGCACTGTAATTAAATTACAAGATTCAAGCTTGTAAATTACTGTACTTGCCAAAGGAGAAAACATAAAATTTCAGAAAGCAACTAAGTAAATCGATAAAAAATTCTGCATGTTTATCAAGAGGCATTAGAAAAAAATATTCTTTGTATCAAATTACTAGAAATCACCTCAAGCACTGTGTGCAATTTTGGGTGCCTCAATACAAGGACATCAAGCCATTGGACTCAATGGCCTTAAGGGTTTTTTTCCAATCTAAATTATTCTAGGATATTGAAAACCTGTTTAATAGAATCTTGACATTTGTCTTAACATTGGTTTTGTGAATCTCTCAGATTAGTAACACAACATGCAAAACAATTTAAGTTTGCAGATAAAGATGACAATACTGGAAAACATGCCAATTTGTTTTGATTTCCACAACATCTAACTTGAAATCAAAATATTTTTTAATTATTTTTTTTTTAGGTCACAAGTTGTATTATACGTAAGAATATTGTCTTCACCCTCTACAAAGCAACCCTCTCAACTTTCCATGCTTTCTGCATTTGTCTGATGTTAATAGAACAGGCCTTATTCGTGTCTTCTGAAATAAACCCCATTTGTAAGTATCCTACTTGTATCCACTCCAGTAAATAGTGACATTGGCAAAGTGATACAAAGAAGAAAGCAAATAATTTATTCTTACCTTAACAATGTACAACCAGAGCCTATTGTTTTTAATTGTGCCAAATGCTAGTAATTAAAGATCAAAAATGAACTTGGGACTGATTGCTAAAATATACCTAGAAACCAATCAATAAAAACTGTGTTGCAAGACTGAAAAGCGTTTTTTCCTGTCACCTTGACAGATTGGCTTTCTTTTCTGTAATATTAAACTGTATTACGAACTTCAAGCTGTGGTAACCCCTATTTAACATCAGTAACTGATAACTGGTAACCCATTATCAGTTTACTGATAAACTGAAAACAATTGTAAATAACCGTTTATTACTTGGAAAATTAAAATAAAAAGTACCTTCGCTCACCACATTAGAATGTTTCTTTCTGAAAATGATTTTTACTAACGGCAGAAATAACAGCAGTAACGGTGTTCATGTTCGAAAGAGGAAGAATTGCCCAACAGCTTTCAGCAGACACACAATAATAATTCTTGCCACTCACAGGCCAGCCTACCTGATGCACCGATTGGAGAGGTAGCTGGGGTCATGCTATGGACATTTAGGCCTAGACTATGGGATGGCCCCGGGGCTGGTGCTACGACAGGTGGTCCAGGTGGGGTCTCTCTCTGCGGTGACGTCAGTGGTGTGGTAGGCTGGGAAGATGGTCCACCTGCCAGCCGAGCAAGGCGCCTTCGACGAATCTGCACAATGGAAATAACAGCAAATAAACATGCTTGCTTGCACACACACGTGCACACGCACCCCATGGCTGCCCTTCGGCCCTCCTACACGGCCGGGGTATTCAGTATTCGCTCCTGTCAAACTGCAGATATAGCAGCTTTACTGGATAACCTGCTAAACGGAGCAGAGTCTTACTGCTGCTTCTCTGTTCTGCATGGCAACACTAAAATACCCTGGATATTCAGATTTTGAGTATGTATTTGCTGCCTTGGAAAACCATTAGCACTGGAGAACAGTGTGTTTGTCCCTCAAACGGTTGTGTAAGACAAGTTTAACATTTACTGCTCAGCAATTTCAAAACCTGTAACACTCCTCCCCATTTATTTTGGCATTTGATGAAACAAACTGCATTAATCTGATAAAAGGGACAATATGAACATGACCTTTGCCTCAATTTCACTCCACATGACACTAATAAAAACATCCGAGCTAAAGAAGGTCCAGTTGAAAGCTATTAAAGACAACCGCTGTCCAAGTTAATCGGAAACACACTAAAAATACACAACTCATCTGCTGGACAGAAGCACCTTGGGAAGTCAGACAATAACTAATATCCTTTCATCACCTACAGACATTCCACCATAGAGAATTTAAAAAACAGTTTTTGCATGTAACTAGTAAGACACAGAAGCACCTGCCTTCAAAATCCAACTCCAGAAAACTCTTATGAACCTACTTATTAAAATTAGTATGTGACTGCATAACACTAACATTATACATGAGAAATAAAGAGACAAAATAACACTCATAATTTATAGTGAAACTTGAAGCATAAAAGAAAAACAAAAAAGAAAGTATTTATTATCACAGGCTGCCTCAGAGGATCTATTCCTAAAGCTGACATCTTCGGCTCGAAACAGGCCCAGCACAAAATAAAAGTATCGTATTTGAGGGTGCTCACTCCCTGCAAAAATAAGCAGTTCATGCTATTCCCTCTTTGTATTATGACACTCGAGCATCACATGCAACGTATCAGTTATCATTTCTGCTCATAATCCTACAGAACTGCCAAGCAAGTAAAAGAGTGAACAAGAGATTTGTGTCAAGTCAATGTCTATATGCTACGTTACTGTAGTCATTTAATGGCTTGTGAAACAGGAAGAAGAACAGATCAAATTAAATCAGGCTTCAAAAACTGTGGGGAAAACAGTGTCTGGATCTACATCTCCCTCCATGACAGGTGTCACCACACGAACATGGAAGGCAGCTAGAAAATAAATTCTTTTTTTTTTTTCCTTATGATCAAAAAAGGCTGTGATTAGAACACCTTAATCCCTCCTCCTTGTCAAGCAAAATAGGGGAGCTTATTCCATAAATTGTTTAGCTTTGCCATAAGTAGAAGCTGTACGTATTAGGGTGTCTAAAAAGTTTTTAAAAAACTTCTTAATTTTTCTCCACTTGTATCTTACATCTTAATTTTTCAGCTGTTTATTTGAAAAAACTACAGAACTACCTCACCCCTCAGAGGCAGACCTCAGAAAGTGTCAGCCCATATCCGTTTTCCCTACTGCTGAATCCAAATGAAGTGTTCACAGCTCACAAAGCTGTACCAAAAATATTATCAGTAAAACGATCCAGCAAATTGAAATATCTTTGAATTAGGGGGTTTAATTGAAGTTTTAAAAGCTGTTTCCTTACCATTCAACTGATCTACAAGCATGGTTTTCAGACAAAGGAATGGCAGGGAAGAATGGAGGAAAAAAAAAGAATACAAATGCAGACACAAACAGCCCATATATGCAGAAGTGGCTGAAGGAGAAAGATGAACTATGTAAAAAGCAAGAAAAATAAATGTGATATGAAACTTTCCCACAACTGTTCATATTCATTCTTGCTAGCTAGTTCTAAGCCTGATGTTAGGAAGGAAATATGCGAGGAGAAAAAGGAGCAGATAATATATTTATCTATTTATTCTCAAAGACAGTCAAACATTGGTTACTCAAACAAGGTCATACCCATCACAAGGTATGATTTGCACAAAATCTCTCTTCATCATCTCCCAGTTTCAAGTAGATAATTGAGGTTACTTGTGCCACTCAGTATTCCTTCACCTACAGTGCTAGGGTAGATCAATGCCAAAGTTACATCAAAACCAGCTGCAATCATTTGTGTCGAAACAGGAGGACACTAAAATGAACTTTCTGCCTTGTATTTGTCACTCTTAGTCCATCAACTACCCATCTTTCTTATGGACCAATCCCCCAGCCTGCAACCTGTCCTGAAAAAAACATTCTGAAAAGGGTATGGAACAAATAAATCTGCACAGAGACCAGGCTGCCTTTAGATAAGGTATTGCAATTAAAACTAATACAAGATTTTCCCCTGCCCCTTTAAGGATGATAGGCAAATTACACTTATCTTCCTTACTGATGAACAAATCAACATTGAAACACAAGTAAGTGCTGAATATTTTTTCCACTGAAAGAGACAGCTTTCACAACTGAAGGCACATTCAGCAATTGTTAAAGGACCAGATTTGGTTCTTAGATAACCTGAGTCGTCATATTCCTCTAGGCTTACATAAAATTATCACAGAAATCTGAAATTTGATCTGAAGATTGGAAAGTTTTAAGTAAGAGAGAAAAGAGAAGAAACAAACATGTTATGCTAGAAAAGCAAAGGGGCAGGCTGAAAGAGAAGTTTGAGGATACAGCCTAACAGTGGTGCATACATTCTATCCTGTTAATTCCCTTGTGCCATGAGACCAAACAGCATCAAGACGGGGGAAGATGGGCTTTATGCTCAGGGCACAACATGGGGACTCAGAAGATGCACCTTGTTAGCACAGACCAGGCACAAATGAGGCCCCAACCTGTTGCCTTCACTTAACACAAATAACATACGTTAGAATTGTGGGAGTTCAAAGTGACCTGCCCTCATTTCAGACTGAATGACTCTCCAAATTACCATGACGAAACACAGCTGTTTGGGTTTTGGCTTTGGTGGTTTGTTTTTTTTTTTTTAAGTATTTCCTTAGAAAA